CAGAGCTATTTATGACAGAAAATCACCTAGGACTGGTTCAAAATAACTACCCCCCGAGAGGTGGAGTCACAACCCGGTGTGATCACCACCCAAGATGCCCCCATCCTTGACCTCAGAGCCAGGAAACCTGCTCCATTTGGGGAGGTGCTGGACAACACAGAAGTCTGCATCTAAATTTTCATCTAATACTTGAGAGGTGAATAAAACCTCTAGAGCCAATTCTCAGTGAGATCAAGCAGCTTTAAAATGTAGGGAAAGCCTCCCTTAGCTTTTAAAAGACAGGGGTCTGCAGCAACACAGAAACACCTCATCAAGGAAGCTTATGCTGGTACTGGCTACGCCAGCTCAGGAAGATGTGCCCCTGCCCTACGACTGGCACTCCAATCACCCGGAGACGCAGACCACGCACACAGAACACGGCTCTGACGGCCAGGCACATCTACAAAGACATCTAGGGCTGATGAAATATGTCTAACCAGGCTTATTTTAACTCTGTGGGTCCAAGTGAAGCTTGGGGTCATGAGAAACTAGTGACCTGTCTTCCGCTATGCCTCTTTAAGGTGCCAGCGTGGGATGTCCCAAGGGCTGACCGGAGGCAATGGCCTGGGGCCCCTTTGGCCTTCCCACAGAACCAGCAGCTCTGACCACTGGGGAAGCCCTGTTCCCCATGGACAGAGCCAAGAGTGTTTCCTTGGTGGCTCACCCTGTTGGAAATTGGGACCGTTCTGTTCCACTACAGAGCACATTTTACCCAGGTGACTACCTTCTGAAGGGGAGGTCCTGTTAACGAAACAGTACCCGAGGCCAGGAAGAAGGTGGTTCTACTGCAGTGACCTTTCGTGGGACTCTTGCCATGTCCCCAACTTCAGACCAGGGGGTGAGGGAATTCAAGAGGGCAGAAGTTAGGGAAGATGCCAAGGATAGAGCAGCAGTGACAACTGTGGAAACACTAAGGAGATTTTGCTAAAGGAACACAGAAAGGAAGGCACATGTGAGACAGAGCCTGGAACAAAGCGTGCGAAGACCGAGGCCTGACTGACTCCTGTCTTCGCCGCTACACTGCTCAAAGGACAAAGGACGGGTGAGGCCCGTGAGGTCTGCCAAGCTCAGGACTGAGACAGAAAATCACCTGGTTCTTAAGTGTAATTCATTCAGATTACATTTACAAAATGCTGTGTCTTGAGGGATGAAGACAAACCGCCATTTGTTACTGGAACACAATTAGCAGTGTTCTCTCACTCTGATCAGAATTTTATAAGCAAACACAGCCATTCACTGCAAGTTTGAGAACACGAAGGACACAGCAAAACTGAGGTCTTTTGTACAAGGAACACACGGAACTGAACCAGGAGGAGTGACAGACGTGACACATCCAACTTCTCTAATCTGAAGTTTTAAGTAATCAGGTGACACACCACTTGACGGGCTCGTTCAGCTGCCCCACTGTCCTTTCTCCTAGTCTCTTTTAAGCCTGACCAACACAAATAATTAACAGAAAGTGGAGTCTTTGTATGAAATTCATCCTGGGCAAGGGTGCTGGGAAACTTCTTACTGCTAATTTTAAGCTCAGTCGTATGTATTTTTCCTAAAAAGTGTTTTTATATTGAACACTGAACTCATGATACATGAGATGCTAAGGTCGCGAGCACATCTGACCTGATTAAAATGGAACTGAAGTCTACGAGTGCCCGAGACCTGGTGGCACCACAGCCTCCTACCGACGGCTACTGCTCCCCAAAGCTAAACTGTCAGTGACTGGGTCAGCCCCTCCCCACTCAGGATGCTGGAGCTGCACCCAAAACAAGCACAGATTAAAAACAAGATGAAGTTTCTCTTGTGGATGGGGCTGGCATTCCGTTCTACCCTGGGATCACTGCTAATTCAGACAGATCTCCAAGGAATACATTTGTGAACGACTGTATTGTTACCCCTGAAGATTAGGCAGGACACTAATGAACCTAACCCAAACTTTACTGAGCAGCTGCAGCTGAAGTCACCAGGGCCACCTGTCACTCCACCCTGAGCACTGTGGCTGGTAAGTGGGGAGGGAAAAGTCAAAACACAACCCAAACCTGGTTATATACTGACACTTCCTTGTACCAGCCTAAACGAACAAAATCCCATACTGGGAAGAACATTACCCTACAATACTTTTCATCAGCATCAACTGCCCGATCAGCCTTGGGTTTTCTCTCACCCTCCAGAGATCTGTGTTCTGACCAGAATGCATTTTGACACTGGCACGAATGACTGCGTAAAAGACATTTTAAAGAATGAACGTCTGTAGGAGAGTTTCTATTCAAGCCGCACAAATTATCACTGCCTAAGTTTTTACATCAATATGGTTTCCAAGGGAAGAATCACTTCAGTTACCTTAAAATAGTTGAAAGAAGTTTATTAAGAGGAGATACTACTCTATATGGAGAAGAGTAGGTAACTTTCACACTCATGATTCCAAAGTTAAAAAAAAGACTCAATTTTATAGGACACATCCATCTTTAAGAGTTGGCTTAGCCAGAAAAATTTCTGGAAGTATCTGCTTTTGTGACTATATATTCCACATGAAAAAATCACTGTGTGTAATTCTTAAATTCTAGGAAGACAGAATACACCAAGTTTACTGATAAGATCCAAGCTATGCATTTATGTAGCCGAGGTATTACTCCAGGCACCTATTTTGAAAAAGGCCAAACTTAAACCACCAAAAAAATTTTTTTTAACTCTTCTAAATACTTTTACATATGAAGTTATTCCAAAGAGTGTTTTATATGCATATGTTACATAAGGGGGAAAACACTTTTTTTTTTAACTCTGGCATGAGAACTAAAAACTTACCTACAAAATGAGTTAATTCAGAATGAGCAAACCTTAAGCTCACACTTAAATAGCAAATCAAAACATGCCAGAAATGAAATGAAAATGAACTTAAGCAACATATCCTGAACTGCATACCAAAAACAAAAAACAAATGGTCTAAGAATGGAAACAACTACAAAGCTACTGAAGCCAACAATTACTTCATTTAGAAAACTCAGGCAGCTGGGGAGAAAACCTGTTTTAGTAACTGAGAATTCCTGCCCAATACCCATTCCCAGTATGTCATGGCAGAACAAGAGGAGAAATCCCCCCCCCCACAAGAAGGCAGGTGTACGGGCCGTCCAGCGGAGACCCCCCCAGGCGTGGGAGCCCCTCTCCCTGTGCACCGGGGCAGCGCTCAGCCTCAGGTGTGCGTAGTCATCGCCTGCGGACTCACGCAGACGCCAGGCTCCGACCTCATCTTCTCCTCAGTGGACCACCTCCAGCTGAGCGCTGGGACCCAGCAGTTTGGGAAAGCTGCACGGTGAGGCTCCCGTGCAAAACACAAATCTCTAACCAGATGACCAAGACGAATGGAGAAGGAAAATAAAATGCCCCCCAAACCTGCATGACTCTTCAAACTGAATGTGTGAAGTAACAGGTCTAGGAAACTTAAGTTTCAGGAATCCTTGGAAAGGCTCTTCCGGATACTTCAGCAATGAGATCATCAGCCAGTTCAATGACCGTCAAACCTGAGGAGACTGGTCTAAAATTCTTTGGTATATTTGAGTCTTCTTAAAATGTTAAGTGACATCCTTTACAAAAATACTAAATAGAATTTAAGATTTATCCTATAAACTAACATGACACGGACACTCGTCCAGTTCTCCCACAAGGGCACAATACTGTGAAGCTCACAACTCCTCTCCAAGACGTGAACCAGACCCTGAACAAGACAAGGACCATTCTCTGAAGTTTAGACACACCTTCATGTTACGTACGATTTTTCTATAACATTTCTTGAAATTATTAGGCCCATAACCTATAAAAGTTATGATTCTGAGAAAAATGATTACTTTTAAGTCCATACATTCATTTCTATAGAAGTCACATAGTCACAAGTTTTTATAGTGACTTAAGATTGTTATCGATTCTACAGGAAAAAGCTGTTTTGCTCGGATATACCCCAGTTATATTAAAGAGGCTCAGCACTGGACAGAGGATAAAGTTGACACACATCAGATTTAAAGTCAACAAAAACTAGCCACGCAGGGTTTCTCAGACTATGCTTGTATAGTTAATTTTTTTTTAAGCCAAAGGGCCCAACTTTGTATTTATATTCCGTAAATCTCATCTGAGCGCATAATTTCAGTGTGATTACTTTTCACCATCATCTCTGAATTTCCCTTTCCATGTAAGTTTGCTAAATATTCCTACCAAGCTATTAATATGTCTTCTGATATAATTAGGGTTAACATATCTTAATTTTTCCCCTCAATGAAAGGGAGATTTTTTCCCCAACTTTAAAGAGTGACTCGCTGACTCTGCCTATTTGCAAACCCCAAAACTATACAAAGATAAAAGAGTGAAGAATACTTAAAAAAATAACTTACCTCTAACTTAAGTCCTCAATGTCAAAGTGGCACACCGGGCCTCACTGTGATACACACTACATACACTGTGGGGCACGGAGACCAGACGAGGCCACATCACAGCACAAGTGAACAGCACAGCACACAGCTACCTCCCCAGGTGTGCAATTATGTTTTACAACCAGACCAGCTGTTTAAGCCCAGGGAAATTCACAGGAAAAAAAAATCAGGCACAGTGGCAGATTCTTTTAATAGTTGTATTTTGAACAGGTACAAGAAACGAGAAAAATCTACTTCACGGAAGCAGGTAAACCTGGTGTGCAGAAAGTTAGACACACACATTCACATTTGAGTGGTCAACACTGCCCTCTCATCTCCTCTCTTTTGTTAAAGGGCCAATCTTCAAAGTGGCAACACAGGACAAACTCCTCCATCACTGCACCACAGTCCTCCGGGCACAGAACCCCTTCCGTGAAGGAGCCATCTCGAAGGCGCTCTCAGTCATGGAAAAGAAGACACGTTAAAGAGAGAGAACAAGCCTGCCCCTTTCCACCACAAAGCAGTCTCACCTGTGGTTCTCGCCTTCTTCACTCCAAAGGGCTCCGGATCTTCCAAGCATCGCTTGCGATTTGCTCCCACACTAACGTGGCTAGTAAGTAAATTCGGACGGCCCCCGTTTAAGGGGCCGTTATCACAGAAACGGGTCAGATGACAATTCTGGAGGTTCAAGAGAAACTGGGCACACTCTTGGAAACCCTGGGTTTGAGCAATGTCTGCTGCCGTCAGGCCACTGGCATTTCTCAGGCTGTACGACACAAAAACACTGAATTACGTCCCGTTAGCATTTCCACCTGGTCTCTGCTCCTGCCGAACTGACTAACTATCTGAAGGTGACATGAAAGAGCACACAGATTTACAGCGCGTCTTCATTAAAGAAGGAGTTACTCATCCTAGCTCTGTAACTAACTTCTCTCTTACGCACATTTGATTACTAAGCAAGATTTGGGAGATAGTAATTTAAAAATCAATACACTAAACTTTAAAAAAAGGCATCTTCCTATTTCACTTCTCAAAAGCATTTTTTATGTTAGTCTGAAGAATGAAAATTTATGCTAACTTCAGACGTAACCTGAAACCGAGTTCTATATTATCTGCACTTAACTTTAATAATCCATTTCTTTAGCTTGAGTAAAATCATAACAAACAAACATGTACTGAATTGTCCATGGCATTCGTAACAATTGGCTTCCTAAAAACAAAGGCTTAAGGATGAGCCAGATACTGTGCTAACGTGTGACACCGTAAGTGGAAGTTTAGAAGGACGTCCTGACAGTAAAATAATCTATCACCAGACTGGAGATCTGAGAAGCTGGGTTTTTATTTGTGGTTTGGCCTTGTGTAGGAGAACTTGCAGGAGTTTAGATTCTGGCATCCTAGCGCATCTGCGTGGACACTTCCTGTGAAAAGCCGCCTACTGCTGTGCTAGGAACTCATCCCTAGGCCGAGTCCCACCACTGAGAAGAATCAACACCGTCCTAGTCGTCAACAACAAGAACAAGCAAAAACCTGCTGTCCTCTGATTAAATCAGGAAGCGCTGGCAGAATATAAATGGAAGATCTGAGTAAGATAAACATGAAAGAACCAGCTGAAATTGTAAACCTTCACTAGGAAACAATAAACACCGAGGGAACAAAAGCAACTCCATGCTGAACTTGCCCCTAGGAGATAAGAAAATACACTGCTCTGTGAAACAGATCTGTAAAGCAGCAGCGCAGGTCCTCAGTTGCACGCTGGCACACAGAGAGCAGAGGCACAGGACGGGCAGGCAGCACGGCCGCGACCAGGCGCAGGCCTAGTCTCGCCCCTGAAAGAACCACACACAACCCTGATGCTCGCCTCCCAGGTTAATGTCAAGGCAAAAACCCACCTCAGAGTGAGAACTACAGAATCAGGGACAGATAAGGGTTTTCCACTTTAAAGAGAACACTAAGCCTTATGTTCTTATTTCCGGTCATCATACTCGGAAGACTCCAACCTCAGGAAGGAAAAAAATCTATGTATTTTTGGACAATCACTAAATATGTCTCCACTTTTTAAAGCAAGAGATAAAGAAATGTATTATGTATTTTGAAAAAAGGCAAAAGCCCAAACTCAATTTGATCACATAAAAGAGGCAAGACTTGAGATTCCTCAAATCCAACAGTATTTTCTTATAATATAAGGCAGTTGTGTGCAGGACTACTGGGGACTAAAATTGACAGTTTTATTTGACTTCATGGCTATGAATTCAGGTAATTATTACTCTAAAATCTCATGAAATTTAATTTTGATATATGAATTAAATGGAAAAGAAAAACCAAAGTTTGAGTAGAGTGAATTACATTAGTTATGTATATACAAATTGATCATATACTTAATTTTTAATATTAACACATTACTAAAATCGAACATTCAAGTAAGTGTATAACTCAGTAACTTTCTTAAATGGTGTGTTTCATTTTCAGATATCACGAGTGAATAGTCCAAAAAGGTCTACTCTTAGCAAGAATGTGAACAGAGTAAGTTGCCACATTAAAAAAAATGTGACTCTTCAAAATTTAAAAAGATGAAGACCTAGAACGTAAGCAAAGTTTATAAAATGATCTTTTCTAGAGAAAAACATGGACTTGCTCTCCAAAAAATCAAAGAATACAGAAATGAGAAGCTGTTGCTTAATCAAGACAAAGTTGACTGTAAAGATTACTCCTCAGTGGATGAGAAAATCCCAGAGACTAAACGTCTTGAGTGGGAATACCCGCCTGGACCCACAGCCACCTGCCTTGCCTCCTCCCGGTTGCACGTGGCCCAGCACTCTCACACCACTCACCTGACGGGGACAGAGCCAACTGAATCTCCAGGGGTCTGAGGTGGTATCCTCAAAACTGAAATAACCCGAGTCACTGTCGTGTCACTCACCAGTCAACTCACGCTATGTACTCACCACACGTGGACCAGGTAAGAAAGAAAGAACAAAGCCAAATCTTACTTCAACTGGCTCCTCATGTAACTTAGGGGGCCAGAAGCTAGAGTAATCTAAAAGGAGTTGAAAATATTCCAGAAAATACGTGGACAGGTATGAGAATCTGGGGTAAACGGTGACTGTGGAAGAGTTAATTGGGACGTTATAATCTTGGCACCATCCCTACAGTATTAGCAAAAACGAGGACATACAGCAGTCTCTCTCCACCTCCGGTGAACCACAGATTTCAGCTGTTACTTCTCATGTTACTAAGGACTGAACGTAACATAGTTTAACAGTGTTTATACTCCTCTTATGCAAAAGGATCTGTTTCTACCTGACCCTGGTGCAGGAGAGCAAAGCTCCCCTCTCCTACGCCCACATGCTTTTCTTCCCACCTCTTCCTTACACACCTACATGCCCTCCTCCGTTTTCTGCCCCGAACTCTGCTCTGCTCACACTTAACTTGCAAGTGGCTGCACAAAAACTGGGTGAAAAGGGACAGCTGGGATCACAGGTCCTGGGACAGACACTTTTTCCATGAAGGGCAGGGCGGCAAGGACTTTACGCCTTATAGGCCCTGGTCTCCAATCTTTTCCCCATAGCCTGAAAGCAGCCTTAGATGATATGTGAACAGTGTATTCTAAGATACCTTTAACTATAGGCACTGAAATCTGAATTTCATGTATGTTTATGTGTCATGAAATATTCTTTTGAGTTTTGTTCAACCATATTAAAATGTAAAAATCACTGTTAGTTTATGGGCCACACAAAAACAAGCAGTGGGCTAGATCAGTTGAGTAGCATTTAACCAACAGATGACACTGGTAACTAGTAATAACAAATGCTTATACGTTCCTGAAAACCGTTTTTCTGGTAATTTTATGCACTATTCAAACAAAAATAAACCTTTGAAAAGTTGCCAACTCTGTTAAATCACAAAATGCTAAACACAAAAATATCTAAAGGGAAACGCTGGAAGAATGTGAAGTCAAGCACCTTGAGAGAACGTGGAGAAGCAATACAGTCACTCCTATTCCATCCGAGTGTTTTCTGTTAAAGGTTCAAGGAGTCTTAAAGCTGAATTAAGCAACGCACTTAAAACGAGTAAGGTGAAATCTGTCTGCAGGCCTGAATTCCTCAAACCATGTTTAGAGAGAATTTTCAGCATAGAGGCTGAAAATCATGTTCCTAGGTAAAGACTAGAACAAATAATTATTAAATGGCATTTCTCAGAACACCTTAATTTTAACAAGAGACTCAGGTCTTTAAGTTAATTTTTTAATATATGCTCTCCTATTTGTTAAGCATGTGTCCACTTTGATGTTTTAAGAGCTGACCATCATCCTGGTGAAAATGTATCATTACTTTATTAAGCCTTCGGACTCTACTGTTTCAACTTTAAGCAGATATTAAACCTAAGCTACCCTCTGTGATTTTCCTAAAACTCAACGGGAGCTGGGCACATGAATGTGACGCGGGACTTACAGGTTCTAAGATAATTTCACATTCAAATGTGGCACTTCATTCTGTTACAGCACTGTTTAATCAGACAAACCTTCACCCTTCAATCCACAGGTGTTCACTGCGAGTGTGGCATGGCCACAGTGCGCTGCCTTCCCGTCAACCCCAAGTGAGGTGCTGGTTCAGACAAGGTTCATCTGAACTGCAGTCTTTACACACCAGTCCAGAGGGAAATTTACAATACCTGGAAGACACTGTTCAAAATGACTCTCAATAACAGTATGCTGCATTAAAATTAGGGTAGCAATGAAAGTACACAGATTATTTTTAGACCAAATCTTTAAAAAAATATATACTTTTGAATTTAGAGTTTTTAGTCTGTTGCACTTGGGCAGACAGACTACACCTCTGTCCGTTTCTGAAAATGACAGGCCCCATGTGGGACGTGCTGTGAGGTCATTGAAAAGCTTTAGTTCACCCTCCTTGGTCCCCTGTAATAATCATTTGAAAAATCTTTGTAAATGGGCAGAGATTTTTAAAAATTAGACATCAGTCAACTTAATGTTCAAATTGGATCTAGTTTGTTGAAGCTTTAAAAATACTTTAAAGCTGACATGATCAGATTCTTAGGCTAGTAAGGTCAATTTGCTACAATTTGTTACGGAGGCTATGACACTGCCTTTATCTATGGACTTGCTTCCTGTAACATTACTGGAGACTATGAAAAGACAATTTAGGGCAGGCTGCCCATTTTCTCCCAATAGTTCTTGGTATTTTCAAAATCGGATATGAGAATACGGGAAGACGCAGAATAATATTTACTGTGATTTATTTATGCTTATATACTATACTTTCTGTAATGAAATTCTGAATAGAATATTAAAACTTACTATATCTGTCTCCCCAAAATACTTTAAAACAAAACTCCACTCTGCAGCCAGCAAATGCCCCATCTCTTTTCCACTTACAGTGTCACAACATCAGAACATATGAGAAGCCATTCTAATAAGAAGTTTTTGTTTTTGTTTTTGTTTTTAAATTTGAAAAACCACGGATCAGGAAATATCTACAATACTTTTCAGAACCTGAGTTGTCACATCACCTTCAGGATGTTTTCTTTTCATTAATGCCATGTGACAATAAAAGATAACCACAATTTAATATAAATAATAGTTCTGTTAAAATTCTGATCTCAACTTAACTATTGTTAGTTTACAAATAAAAAGGTAGATATCATAAATTAGGGTAAGCAAAGCATGCAAATCTAAAGAATCTATATCTGAATTCCTAGATTAGCATTAAAACCAATCACCGCAACAAATACCTCAACAGTATGCCTCGT